TTTTGAATGACTAGTAACTACCGCCTGCATTATATTTAAGTACTCTAATAATAACTTACATATAAGATACATACTTAAGTACTTACATTTAAACAGTGCTGTTCAGAGTTCAACAACATGCCAACGAACGACTCTTAACTCCCTATTTGTAATGACTTATTTAACTACTTATTTGTATGCGACATCGCCGTGTTAAAATAATGCGGTTAAATGCCAATGAAAAAGCTATTTAAAGCTAGTTCAGTTCTAGTTCTGTTCGAGTTCAGTTCTAGTTCAGTTCTAGTTCAGTTCTAGTTCAGTTCTAGTTCAGTTCTAGTTCAGTTCTAGTTCAGTTCTAGTTCAGTTCTAGTTCAGTTCTAGTTCAGTTCTAGTTCAGTTCTAGTTCAGTTCTAGTTCAGTTCTAGTTCAGTTCTAGTTCAGTTCTAGTTCAGTTCTAGTTCAGTTCTAGTTCAGTTCAGTTCAGTTCTAGTTCAGTTCTAGTTCAGTTCTAGTTCAGTTCTAGTTCAGTTCTAGTTCAGTTCTAGTTCAGTTCTAGTTCAGTTCTAGTTCAGTTCTAGTTCAGTTCTAGTTTTTTTTTTTTTTTTTTTTTTTTTTTTTTTTTTATTATCATTTCAAAATGTTTACAAATATTCTTATTACTACACCCACTAAGCCTTAGGGCTTGACAGCAGGATAATATGAAACAGATTATTTGTATACAGCAATAATAAAATATAAATATATGTAAATAAATATTAAGTATTAATATATAAATATATAATGTTCATTGCGAACTGATGAAAAAGTCTTTAATTAATTTTTTTCTTCTATTCACATTCTTGGTATTTAAAATATCTACAGGCAGTTTATTAAGTATGTTAGGTAGCATGACAGATAAAGTGTTTCTTCCGTATTCGTTGTAGAAACGTTCAACCATATAACGTTTTTGTGTTCGACGTCTTGTATTATACGAGTGATCAATTATGTGCAAAAATCGGTTGTCATCAAAGAAGTCGTTAGCTAAACATGTGGAATATATACTGTTCACATTTAGCAGGTTTAGTTCTTTTGAAATATTGGTACAGTTGTGTATGTTTGTGGTGCATGTTCTTCTAGTGTTTATGTTGGTGTTTAGATGTGGTTCATTGTTGTAAGGAGTTTCAGTGAAGTAGTTTGTGTTTACAGATGTGATGTATATGTTGTTTGTATTAATAAGGTTGTATTGCGTTTGATTTGTCATAATGTTGTTGCTAGATGAATTGTTTAAGTAGTAGTTTGTGACAATGTTAATATTGGACAAGTGACTAGTGTTTATGTTGTTATTGTGGAATAAAGCTGTAGTATTTGTTGTTGATTCTGTGGCTGTTATGTTGTGATTTTGATGGTTATTTGTATTTGTAGAGCATCTGCGATTTCTCCAAAGTATTTTCAGGATGTGGTCTTGAGTTTTTTGCAAAGTTTTGGTGTATTTTGCGCTTCCCCAGGCAGAAATTCCATGTCTTATGTAAGACTCAGCAAGTGAATAGTATGCTTGCCTGAGTACACTATATGTTGCACAGTTACTCAAATGAAACAACATATATGAAGCTTTACGTAGTTTTTTCCTGACATCTTCGATTTGTAGTTTCCATTTAAAGCTGTTGTCAACGTAAACGCCAAGGTATTTATAAGATTTTACCATTTCAATGTATGTTGTGCATGTATCCGGATCTATTGTTACATGTTGTGCTTTTTTGTGTAAACATTCTGTGTTGTGAAATTTTATAGCAATGTGTATATCAATGAGATGTCTCGGTTTTATATGCATTATTTTAGTTTTTGTAGCATTTCTAGTTCAGTTCTAGTTCAGTTCTAGTTCAGTTCTAGTTCAGTTCTAGTTCAGTTCTAGTTCAGTTCTAGTTCAGTTCTAGTTCAGTTCTAGTTCAGTTCTAGTTCAGTTCTAGTAGTAGTTCAGTTCTAGTTCAGTTCTAGTTCAGTTCTAGTTCAGTTCTAGTTCAGTTCTAGTTCAGTTCTAGTTCAGTTCTAGTTCAGTTCTAGTTCAGTTCTAGTTCAGTTCTAGTTCAGTTCTAGTTCAGTTCTAGTTCAGTTCTAGTTCAGTTCTAGTTCAGTTCTAGTTCAGTTCTAGTTCAGTTCTAGTTCAGTTCTAGTTCAGTTCTAGTTCAGTTCTAGTTCAGTTCTAGTTCAGTTCTAGTTCAGTTCTAGTTCAGTTCTAGTTCAGTTCTAGTTCAGTTCTAGTTCAGTTCTAGTTCAGTTCTAGTTCAGTTCTAGTTCAGTTCTAGTTCAGTTCTAGTTCAGTTCTAGTTCAGTTCTAGTTCAGTTCTAGTTCAGTTCTAGTTCAGTTCTAGTTCAGTTCTAGTTCAGTTTTTTTTCAGTTCTAGTTCAGTTCTAGTTCAGTTCTAGTTCAGTTCTAGTTCAGTTCTAGTTCAGTTCTAGTTCAGTTCTAGTTCAGTTCTAGTTCAGTTCTAGTTCAGTTCTAGTTCAGTTCTAGTTCAGTTCTAGTTCAGTTCTAGTTCAGTTCTAGTTCAGTTCTAGTTCAGTTCTAGTTCAGTTCTAGTTCAGTTCTAGTTCAGTTCTAGTTCAGTTCTAGTTCAGTTCTAGTTCAGTTCTAGTTCAGTTCTAGTTCAGTTCTAGTTCAGTTCTAGTTCAGTTCTAGTTCAGTTATTCAGTTCTAGTTCAGTTCTAGTTCAGTTCTAGTTCAGTTCTAGTTCAGTTCTAGTTCAGTTCTAGTTCAGTTCTAGTTCAGTTCTAGTTCAGTTCTAGTTCAGTTCTAGTTCAGTTCTAGTTCAGTTCTAGTTCAGTTCTAGTTCAGTTCTAGTTCAGTTCTAGTTCAGTTCTAGTTCAGTTCTAGTTCAGTTCTAGTTCAGTTCTAGTTCAGTTCTAGTTCAGTTCTAGTTCAGTTCTAGTTCAGTTCTAGTTCAGTTCTAGTTCAGTTCTAGTTCAGTTCTAGTTCAGTTCTAGTTCAGTTCTAGTTCAGTTCTAGTTCAGTTCTAGTTCAGTTTCTAGTTCAGTTCTAGTTCAGTTCTAGTTCAGTTCTAGTTCAGTTCTAGTTCAGTTCTAGTTCAGTTCTAGTTCAGTTCTAGTTCAGTTCTAGTTCAGTTCTAGTTCAGTTCTAGTTCAGTTCTAGTTCAGTTCTAGTTCAGTTCCAGTTCAGTTCTAGTTCAGTTCTAGTTCAGTTCTAGTTCAGTTCTAGTTCAGTTCTAGTTCAGTTCTAGTTCAGTTCAGTTTTCTAGTTCAGTTCTAGTTCAGTTCTAGTTCAGTTCTAGTTCAGTTCTAGTTCAGTTCTAGTTCAGTTCTAGTTCAGTTCTAGTTCAGTTCGTTCAGTTCTAGTTCAGTTCTAGTTCAGTTCCAGTTCAGTTCTAGTTCAGTTCTAGTTCAGTTCTAGTTCAGTTCTAGTTCAGTTCTAGTTCAGTTCTAGTTCAGTTCTAGTTCAGTTCTAGTTCAGTTCTAGTTCAGTTCTAGTTCAGTTCTAGTTCAGTTCTAGTTCAGTTCTAGTTCAGTTCTAGTTCAGTTCTAGTTCAGTTCTAGTTCAGTTCTAGTTCATTCAGTTCTAGTTCAGTTCTAGTTAAGTTCTAGTTAAGTTCTAGTTCAGTTCTAGTTCAGTTCTAGTTCAGTTCTAGTTCAGTTCTAGTTGTGTCAGTTTCTATTTCAGTTCTAGTTTAGTTCTAGTTCAGTTCTAGTTCAGTACTTTATAAACAAAGTGAATTTCATATAAAAACTTTTATTTTTGAAAATTAAAAAAACCCAAAATATATACAAAATAATTAAGTAAGAGTATAAATATGTAGTCAAGCAGTTCTCTGTAAAACAATGTATAAAGAAATAACAACAACAAATTATGTTAAATGTTACCAATTGCAACTCAAATTTTCATTTTTCACCTGCTCCCCCTTTCCGAAAGCACATATCTATCAATGTACCGTGAGAGAAAAACTTCATGGAAGTGTCATTTATGCAAACCGCGAAGCCGCTCTCCAAATACTTTATACCAATCACTTGTTTTCGATGAAAGCAACAACATGAAACAAGCCCGAACCGATGACGATGATAATAATGTTGAGAATGATCCACCGAAAAAATTTAAAGAGATAGTGTCGTTGACCTCGTTAGATACAAAATTGAACTCTTTTGATGCTAGACTATGCTCTGTACAATCAGACTTGAAGGAAGGCATGAAAGAGGTGATGAAAACGGTCGATCAACTAGCAACTAATGTCAATGCATCCAAGACTGAAATGAAAGAGGAAATTCAATTCGCACTCTCTTCGATATCAAATGCACTTGCTACCTTAGTTGATCAAGTAAAGGAGATAAATGAGACGAACATTAAAAGAGACACTCGAATCACTGCCACCGAAACGCGTATAAACAAATTGGAACAACAAATGATCAAAAACAACATAGAAATAAAAAACATACAAAACAAGGAAATCTCTGAATATGAAGTGGTTAAGGCAAGTTTTAGTTCAGTTCTAGTTCACTTCTAGTTCAGTTCTTGTTCTAGTTCAGTTTTACTTTAGTTCTTAGTTTAGTTCTGGTTTAGCTCTAGTTTAGTTCTAAATTATTGCTAGTTTAGTTTTGGTTCAGTTCTTGTATAGAAACAGTTTAGTTTTAGTTCAGTTCTAGTTAATTGCTAGTTTAGTTCTAGTTTTGTTCCAGTTAAGTTCTAACATCTAGTTACGGTCTAGTTTAGTTGTTGGTCATATGTGAAATGTTACAAACGCGAGGTTATAGGGTATACTTTATTTTAAAGTTGAGGATTAGACTTTCAGATGACAAAACAATTTTTTTAAAAGAGGAGTAATGTCTCAAATATTGCCAAAATCGGAGTTTATTCGAATTATAGGATGCGACATCTCGAAAACTTAATGTGATTAAGATATTCCAAGGTCAGATACAGTGCAATTGAATAATTTAGAAAAGTGGAGTTCGGTCTCGGGGATTAAAAAATCTTGACCTGTATTAGGTATTTAGCTATTTTTGATTATTTTCCGTAAATATTACAAAAACAACAATTTCTTTTAAATTTATTTAGAAAAAACAATTTATTTACAATTTCATAAATAAAAGCTTAAAATTAAAAATTAAATAAATCATTTAAAATAATTTAAATATACTAAATAAAACGTAAAAAGAAACAACAGTTGTATGAGTAAAAATGACCAGTAACCGGGTCACATACACAGTTTAGGGAGTAAAAAACATAATTAACTGAATCATGATTTTAAAATTTAAATGGTCTTTATTGCATAAATAAAAATAAAACTATAATAATAATAATGAGACAAACTAAAAAAAGGTTTTAAAAACTATATTTTAAATAATGGTCCAGTGATAAGAATGTTTCTATAATTAATTCCGATCTTCCTTTTCCATATAAATATTAAAGAATAAGTAAAAAAACTGGAAGATTTTAAGGATCACTGGTGGCATTTGTAATGAACGAGGGATGCAAGGATATGCTTGATGATGTTTTCTTGTGACTCTAATATAATGAAAAAAGCATGTTTTGCAAATTAAATTTGCAACACGCCTACATAATGCAATGAGTTGGTTTTTGGTTTTGAGTAGTGACGAAAAATGGAACGATTGCGGGTAATCGAATTCAAATTCGATCATACTCTTACTTAAGTTTAATTATTTTGAGATGAGTCTACATAATTGGATTTATGTTATGTCTTGTTTATTTAAAGAAACGTCTCTTTTTCTTTTTCTCTACTGCTGGAGGCTGTTCCACAGATAACTGTCTTCGTGGCAGTAAAGGTGGTGGTCCCACCTCACCATTACTTTGCTCTTCCTGATTTGCGGGTGAACTTGGGCGACTAGGCCTTAGAATAGACTGTAAGGGAGGTGAGGCAGAGGATAACTCTTCATTTTCATCTTCAGCTATTTTATCCAAACGTGAGCCATGTACCGAAGCCAATTCGGAGGGAGTTTTAGCTTGCGAAGCCTCATCACCCAACTCGCTGGCTACACCAACACCCAAGGTGGCTCCTATTTTGGCACTGGCATCCTTAAATGTATCACTCAATTTAATCTGCACCACATTGATGAACATAGATGTTAAGGCCAAACCAAATACTAAATAAATTATACTGCACATCATGAAAATGGGATGATTTGGCACCAAATCACCAAAGCCAATGGTAGACATGGATATAAATACAAAGTAAAAGGCCTCGAAATAGGTCCAATCTTCCCATAATGTATACACAAAAGTACCCAAAAGAATATAGGTAATTAGCAATATGGAAGCCAATGAAATTGGCAGATTAAATTCATCATCCACAACTATAGTTTCCGGATAGGGAGAGGTAGGTGTTTCCGGATGCGATTTACCGGCCTCTGATGCCTGTGATTCAACATCAGTATCGGGTCCCATGCCAAAGAAATGACTAGGTCTTCGTATGGCCATATCGTAGACGGTAGAAAATCCAGTCATGGCATCTCGTACTTGTTGTTGTTTACGTATACTGCGGCAAGTGCCCGTATAGTAGAGACGTCTCACATAACCCCAAATGAATTTAATGGCCCTGGTGAAGAGTTTACCGAAATCAGCTAACAATATCAAGAACATGGGTATACCAATGATGGCGTAAGCAATTGTCAACGATTGGCCAAATCGTGTTTTAGGTGTTATGTGGCCATAACCTGAAATAATATAAAAATTAAGGTCAAATAATTAGTTCATATGCAGAATATAATATTTTCCTAATATATAGTAACAAAATAATTTTGACACAAATAGAGTTCATTATTGTAATATACATAGATATATAAGTAATATATTCTCTGATTTTGATCATATAATTTATATAGCCTTGGTGAGCCAAGACTTTATGCAGCGATTTACTTACGATTTATATAGAAAAATGTTTGAAAAGTTTCAAGAAGTGTGCAAATTTTAGACTTAATTTTGAGATAATGGTCAATATATAAAGGCTCGATCCTACAATGAATCTGCCAGAGCAGAATTTTTATAAATATTTTATCATGGTTCATAATGGAACCAAAACCTTACTAACCGATATTCACTATTTATTTTGAATATATAAAAAGGTTTAGAAGATTTTTATACGGACCATTAAAAAAATGGGACATACATACTATATAGATCTTGTCATTCGATTTTTAAACCACTGAAATACTTGCAGACCCACAAAAGTATACCTATTCTGGAACCTTATTAAAATATACGACGATTTAGCCGTCTGATCATATGACTGTTGAGTTTAGTATTTAAAATAAGTAATATCATTCCCGGATTTCACCTAAGTAGCCCCCATACAAGTGTCTTCCCGGAATAAGGTTAAGTAAATAAGTTAATTATACAGCAATCGTGATAAAAAGCTGAAAATTTAGTTTTATGGTACTGGAAATTATATTTAATATATGACGTTCAACGGACCTCCCATATAAAGCCCTATTCTGAAGCTCTAAAGCTCATGACTGACTTAATAACACTAGTATAGCGAGGAAATTCGTTATAAACAAGTTTTATAGTTAGGATCAAAAATATATCTACTAAATTTGATGAAGATTGGTTCATAATTGCCACTATCCTCCACATAAGGTCCCCCCAGAATCGGTCTATAATTGGCCGTACCCTCCAAATAAGATTCTTCTCATAAAATGACTTTAATGTCTATAACTGACTTAAAAATACCCGTTTAACTTTTAAATTTGTCATACATAAATAAGTTTTATAATAACCAAAATATCTCTTCAAAATTTTATGCGGATCGGTTCATAATGGACCCTATACCTCATACTTTACAATGTCTTTTCTAGAAAATTACTTTAAAGCTCATAATTTTTTTTAAAATTTAAGTAACGCGATAAATTCGACACAAACTAGTTTCAAATTTTGTGAAAATCGGACCAAAAAAGCACCTATCACTCATATAAGGCCCCTAGTCCCCACATAACTCCTTTTGCAGGAAATCAGTATATTGTCAATGAATCGTAAACAAATTGTTGAAATAAAATTAAATTCGACAACAAATACTTTTTGAAAGACATTATTTACTATTTCAAGTTCTTCCGAGTTCGATCCATAATTGACTCCAGCTACCATTAAGCTCCTTAGATCTAAGTTCAACTACCGAAATTAACCTTAATTTACGAGTTATGTATGTTATAATTGTTCAATATAACATTCTTACTTGTTGAGTCCTACACTGAATTATTCATGAAAGGTGCGTTTGGTCTTATAATGGACCGATCAGTAATGAATTTTACAGAGCTACAGATTTTTGTAACTTGCTTTGCCTAGCGTTTTATGTTATTTCAGTACAAATTTCTGCAATAGCTACAAGCGGTACCTTTCTTTAAACTAACGCAAAATTCAAACTGATATTCAAACAAGTAAGAATATATAGTCGGGTCTGGCCCACCATGTTGTGACCTACAATAAAGGTTATGTTAAAACTATGGATTATTTTACAAACATCAGCTCAAACACATTAGTAATACCCGTTTACTATAGTGGTGCAGAGTTTAATAAAGATCGAAATATATAATTTTGAGTCGAAAAGGAGCGTTGGACCAAATTCTCTATATTAACATCTCCACTAGTATAGTTGTAGTGATTCCCTAAAACAATCTAAAAATGGAAAATTGCGATATTCGAAGACTTTCGAAATCTCTATTTAAATTCAGTTAAGATTTCTATCAGTATAGAATACCCTCAATATGGCCCCTGCTCCTTAAATCTGCTGATCATTTAACTCCCCATAATAAAAAAATACCCTATGGGGTAGCATTTACCTATGGTTGTTATCACAGTCCAACAATATAAAATGCAATTGACAAAATTCCATGATTTTTGTCCGGGAAAATAACGTATACCCATTTCACCCATTGTATGTAATTCCTCTTCAAATTTACGAAGTTTTTGACGAGCCAACGATTTCCAGTCCTCCTCTCTATAATAAAATTGTTAACAAAATAAACATGAATAGAAAAAATTATATTGCATTCCAAGTCCATACCTCATACTATGACTATGTGACCATAAATGATCTATAAAATCTCTTTTAACTTTACGAACTTCACATTTATAGATATTTTCCGAAGTTCCTTCTGTATAACGGAACATAAGGCCACCAAAGCCTAGGAGCAGAATCAACATTATGGTATGAGCAAAGCAACGATTGCGCATTCGTTTGATTTCCTTAATATCTTGAGGACGTTCGGCTTTATAGGTACGCCACTGTTGTCTAGCATCACGTAAGAAAGCTTTAAGAAAAGCTTTGGATATTATTTTATCTGGTATTTCTGGTGCGTCTTGTTTTTCAGTTGTAGGTGGCAAGAGATCCTCTTGTTCTTTAGTTAAGGTTTCAGGTTTGGGAGATTTTCTGAATAGTTGTCCAAGTTTTTGGAGGAAGGAAGGTTTTTGTTCTTTGGTTGTGACAGTTTCTGCATTATCTTTAGCTGGGGAAATTATAATTTCCGGTTGTATTTCTTTGGCTATTTCTATTGGCATAGAACTATCTACTTTATCTTGGGAGGTTTCCAAACTTTGCTTGCGTTTGGCTTCTGGTCGATGTAAAGATTCGCTTCTGTGAGCTTTCCTGTGTCTCAAATGAGTTTCTCTATCTGTTTCAAATTCTGTGGTAGTGGTAGTCTCAGGTCGTAGACTTTGCTGTTCCTCACGTTGCTGTTCTTCTAGACCATTGAGCTTTTTCATAATTTCTGCTCTTTGTTCGGGAGTTTTCGAACGCCTTTGTGGTCGTACTGGCGATAAGGAATTGTTACGGCTAGCCGATTGCCTTTGGGGTCTTACAGGCGACAGGGAGTTATTGCGACTAGCTGATTGTCTAGCGGGTGGTTGAGGTGGTGGTCCTCTCACACTAGCCGTGGTCATGGCACTGTGATATCTTCTTACTGGAGACAATTGTTTGGCCAAATGTCTAGCTTGTATTTCTTCTGCTGTCTCGGTATCCGAAGAAGAAAATTGTGTGGAAGACTCCTCAAAGTTACCGCTATGGCGATTACGTTTAGCTGCCGAACGGGAAGTGGGTAAATTACCCTCAGGTCTTTCCAATCTCAAGCTATGTATCAAACGTTTACGCTCTTCTTCTCCTTGAGGTAGTTTAATACGATCACTTAACTTGCGATAAGACTGTAGCAAACGCTTTCTCTCTTCATTGTCTAGCATTTGTTTATATCTCAATTTATGTTCTCGTTTCTCTCTCTCAAATAATTTCTTTTCACTTTCGAATCGTTTGCGTTCATTTTCAAACCGTTTTAAATTCTGTTCCAAACGTGAAAGATTTTCATCGGCAGTCGATTGTATGGGTGCTGATACCAATCTAGTTTCGGGAGATAGGGTTCTACCCCTGGCCTGCAATTCTCCCTCACTGGATTCAGCCACTTCTTTATTGCGCGGCATAGACAGACTACGTTTGACCGTTTTAATCAATTCAGTAGCTTCGGGTTCCGACAAACGCTCCGCCTCTCTGGGCTGAGAGAGTGAACGGGTGGCAGCGGTAGCAAAGGTTTTATCTCTCCTTCTTAGAATTTTACTCTCATGAGCTGACATAGTGGAACGGGGAGGTCTTATTTGCATGCTTACAACTTGAGCACCTTCAGAAACCGTTGTGCCACCACCTACTATGCTGCTATCATCTTCGGTAGATGACATACGTCTAGCACTAGGATCCGGAGTTTTTTCACGCATGGAACGTCCCACACGACGACGTCTTCGTATATGGGCAGCATTGGAAATTTCCTGGTGATCACCTTCCATTTTCTTTTGTTTTAATTTAGTTCAATATTTGGGTATTTCGAAAGAGAATATAATGAAATTTTTATTCAGTCTCTTGAATACTGTTTACTCTTAAATTTGTTCTATTGTTTCGTTTCGTGTTTTCCTTTCGCTTTCTTTTTTTATCGTCTATTCATCCATATAATGTTCCGCTAGTGTTTTTTATTCTTTCACTTTCTTTAAACAAATATTTTTTGACCACACTTCCGAATTCTATTTATAAATAGCCCCCAAAATTTGTAAGTGTGTGTGTGTGTAGCTCTTCAAATCCTCTCCACTTCGTTTGACAAAAGTGATCATAAAATTTTGAAATATTTTTATTTAAATTATACAATCATATTTTAAGCAAATATGTTTGTATACTAAATTTTCTAAGTAATTTTAATCGATTTATTTATTTAATTTTGGTAATTTAATAAAAATTTTCCAAAAATTGTATTTCGTTTTCTTTACTTTTTCTTATAAATATTTTTTTTCACATAATTCTAAATATAGTAGCTTGCGTTAATACACATTTCATTTATATATATTTTTTTCTATTTCAAATTCAATATTTCAGTATTCGCACACATTTTGTACGGATCTTGGCGTTGTTTTCAACGTAACGTTCGCTTCGTTGTCTAAAAATGAACTGTTTTTCTGTTTAGTCGTTTAAATTTTGTGGGTAGATTCTGCATTCGACGCCATCTACTCAATTTTTAATATAAAGCCTTCATAATGTGACTCTTTTCAAAATTTTGCCATAACTCGTATACTCTTTGTATTCACAAGAGCTGAAATATGTTTGTTGAACACATACAAAATTTGTTGATGTATCTTTTTTTCTTGCTGCAGAGAGTGCTGATCGTGTATATCATCATCACTCACAGGATTTTGTTTTCAACAGCAACCGGATTGCAATACCTTCTACCTGAGATCGATCGTTAACCTGCTCAAAGCCAAGGTCGTCTGGTAGTGTTTCTGTTATGATCAGTGCAATTAAAGTATGACTTCTTTTCAATATTCAGAATTATTTTGAAAATGTAATTTTATGTGTGGCAAATCAGTATTTTGTGTATAATTTTGACAGGACTTTAATCTAGTCTTTATTTTGATTTATAGTCCAATCTACAATCTGGACTATAGACTAGTCTATAGTCTGGACTATAGTCTCGTCTATAGTGTGTACTATAGTCTAACCTATAGTCTGGACTATAGTCTAGTCTTTAGTCTGAACTATAGTCTAGTCTTTAGTCTGGACTATAGTCCGGACTTTAGTTTAGTATATAGTCAGGATTATAGTCTAGTCTATAGTCTGGATTATAGTCTAGTCTTTAGTCTGAACTATAATCTAGTCTTTAGTCTGGACTATAGTCTAGTCTACAGTCTGGACTAAAGTCTAGTCTATAGTGTGGACTATAGACTAGCCTATAGTCTGGACTATAGTCTCGTCTATAGTGTGTACTATAGTCTAGCCTATAGTCTAGTTTTTAGTCTGAACAATAGTCTAGTCTTTAGTCTGGACTTAAGTTTAGTATATAGTCAGGACTATAGTCTAGTCTATAGTCTGGATTATAGTCTAGTCTTTAGTCTGAACTATAATCTAGTATTTAGTCTGGACTATAATCTAGTCTACAGTCTGGACTAAAGTCTAGTCTATAATGTGGACTATAGTCTAGTCTATAGTCTGGATTATAGTCTCGTCAATTATAGTCTATACTATAGTCTAGTATATAGTCTGTAATCTGGAATATAGTCTGTAATCTGGACTCTATAGCCCAGTCCATAGTCTGGACTATAGTCTAGAGCCTAGACTACAGTACAGATTATAGACAAGATTACAGTCTAATCAATATTCTAGACTATAGTCTAGTCTATATTCTATACTACAGTCTAGTCTCTAGTATAGACCAGTATATAGCCTGAACTATAGCTTAATCTATAGTCTGGTAATTTGTCTGAAATATAGTCTAGTCTATAGTCAGGAATATAGTCTAGTCTATAGCTATAGGCCAGCCTGGTAAATGATCTAGTCTATAGAGTGGAGTTTAGTCTTTTCTATACATTGTTGTTTAGTTTAGTCAATAGTCTAGTCTATAGTCTAGTCTATAGTCTAGTCTATAGTCTAGTCTAGTCTAGTCTAGTCTATAGTCTAGTCTATAGTCTAGTCTATAGTCTAGTCTATAGTCTAGTCTATAGTCTAGTCTATAGTATAGTCTATAGTCTAATCTATAGTCTAATCTATAGTCTAGTCTATAGTCTAGTCTATAGTCTAGTCTATAGTCTAGTCTATAGTCTAGTCTATAGTCTAGTAGTCTATAGTCTAGTCTATAGTCTAGTCTATATTCTAGTCTATAGTCTAGTCTATAGTCTTGTCTATAGTCTAGTCTATAGCCTAGTCTATAGTCTAGTCTATAGTCTAGTCTATAGTCTAGTCTATAGTCTAGTCTATAGTCTAGTCTATAGTCTAGTCTATAGTCTAGTCTATAGTCTAGTCTATAGTCTAGTCTATAGTCTAGTCTATAGTCTAGTCTATAGTCTAGTCTATAGTCTAGTCTATAGTCTAGTCTATAGCCTAGTCTATAGTCTAGTCTATAGTCTAGTCTATAGTCTAGTCTATAGTCTAGTCTATAGTCTAGTCTATAGTCTAGTCTATAGTCTAGTCTATAGTCTAGTCTATAGTCTAGTCTATAGTCTAGTCTATAGTCTAGTCTATAGTCTAGTCTATAGTCTAGTCTATAGTCTAGTCTATAGTCTAGTCTATAGTCTAGTCTATAGTCTAGTCTATAGTCTAGTCTATAGTCTAGTCTATAGTCTAGTCTATAGTCTAGTCTATAGTCTAGTCTATAGTCTAGTCTATAGTCTAGTCTATAGTCTAGTCTATAGTCTAGTCTATAGTCTAGTCTATAGTCTAGTCTATAGTCTAGTCTATAGTCTAGTCTATAGTCTAGTCTATAGTCTAGTCTATAGTCTAGTCTATAGTCTAGTCTATAGTCTAGTCTATAGTCTAGTCTATAGTCTAGTCTATAGTCTAGTCTATAGTCTAGTCTATAGTCTAGTCTATAGTCTAGTCTATAGTCTAGTCTATAGTCTAGTCTATAGTCTAGTCTATAGTCTAGTCTATAGTCTAGTCTATAGTCTAGTCTATAGTCTACTCTATAGTCTAGTCTATAGTCTAGTCTAGTAGTCTAGTCTATAGTCTACGTCTATAGTCTAGTCCTATAGTCTAGTCTATAGTCTAGTCTATAGTCCTAGTCTATAGTCTACTCTATAGTCTAGTCTATAGTCTAGTCTATAGGTCTAGTCTATAGTCTAGTCTATAGTCTAGTCTATAGTCTAGTCTATAGTCTAGTCTATAGTCCTAGTCTATAGTCTATCTTAGGGTCTGGCTAGAGTCTAGTCTATAGTCTAGTCTATAGTCTAGTCTATAGTCTAGTCTATAGTCTAGTCTATAGGTCTAGTCTATCAGTCTAGTCTATAGTCTAGTCCCTATGTCTAGTCTATAGTCTAGTCTATAGTCTAGTCTATAGTCTAGTCTATAGTCTAGTCTATAGTCTAGTCTAAGTCTAGTCTATAGTCTAGTCTATAGTCTAGTCTATAGTCCTATCTATAGTCTAGTCTATAGTCTTAGTCTATAGTCTAGTCTATAGTCCTAGTCTATAGTCTAGTCCTATAGTCTTAGTCTATAGTCTAGTATCATGTCTAGGTCTATAGTCCTAGTCTATAAGTCTAGTCTATAGTTAGTCTATTAGTCTAGTCTATGTCTAGTCTTAAGTCTAGTCTATAGTCTAGCTAAGTAGTCCTATAGTCCTAGTCTATAGTCTAGTCTATAGTCTAGTCTATAGTCTAGTCTATAGTCTAGTCTATAGTCTAGTCTATAGTCTAGTCTATAGTCTAGTCTATAGTCTAGTCTATAGTCTAGTCTATAGTCTAGTCTATAGTCTAGTCTATAGTCTAGTCTATAGTCTAGTCTATAGTCTAGTCTATAGTCTAGTCTATAGTCTAGTCTATAGTGTAGTCTATAGTCTAGTCTATAGTCTAGTCTATAGTCTAGTCTATAGTCTAGTCTATAATCTAGTCTATAGTCTAGTCTATAGTCTATAGTGTGTTCCGCAAATGTTGAATACCTTTTATGTTATTTCCAAGAAAAATCCATCAGCATAATTAGCATAGTTTTAAATTACACTGTCATCAAAATCATAAGTTAAAATGTGTAATAGTCATTAATTACCATAATATGAAACTTAATGTTAAACTCTACTAAAATTTACCTTATTTCGATTTATTTAAACTAGTATTGGCACAGTATGTAATTGGTAAAACAAGTATCGCAATTGCATAATAACACTAATGCCTTTTTGGGTAAAATTTATAATTGTTTTGCTTGAATGAATGTTTGAATGTGTTATGTGTGACGTCATTGAATGTTCAAACTTTTTACAATAGATGTCACTGTTAGGCCTTCGCAATTCGTATGCGGTTGTTGAATTTGCTATTTATAATGTGTAGGAGCATTGCCAGATGCAAATGAGAAACAAATTCAACATGTTAACACTATGAATGCCGGTTGAAAATAAAACTAATCAGATTCGACTTTACATAGATGAAGAGAAGATGCTTTAAATGCCTTTATAATTGGAACTATCTAAAGGATGTTTGTTGTTTTTATCATATGAACAACTATAATAGCCCACTCTTGCCATAAGATGTTCATATTTATTATAAACATATTGCTATTGATATTATTAACATTTTAAAGTGATACCTTAATTGCTTATAAAACTGCTGGGTATCCCTATACTGAACATACAAACCTTCAAGTACATCCGCAAATAAATATAGAATTTTATTTATATCTAAATTTTAATTTATATTATTTTTATCCATTAATTTATATTATTTTTATCCATTTTCTGAAAGAGGCTTTATATGGGGGCTAGGGGCAAATATGGACCAAGCCCGGTAAAATTTTTTCAATATATTTATATTTACATAATATTTTATTGTGCTGATATTTGTGTCTATAAGTTAATTTGGGACATTCAAGTAATTTTCTGAAGGGGACTTTGTATGGGAGCTAGGGTCAAATGGGGCCCGATCTTGTTACGCGCTGGTTGCAAGACGAATAATAAAAATTGGTTGAGATTTTCAGAATTCATATTCCTAAACCTTAAATAAAATATTGCTTAAGAGGCATGTTAGGTGACTTCCCAGCTAGCTATAGGTGCGGTAAATTTTGGTTCTTAACCCATATATTCTATTGCGCGTAAGCATATAACACACTACCCATGCCAAAGAAATACCCATAGTGTGCCTAAAGAAAACTAAACTTCAAATTATAATTCACAAAACGAACCATGGCAAGATGTAACGCCAGGTAGGGTACACTTATTCCCACCCACTGACAACAGGTCAGACGCCGTGACAAGAAAAATACCCTTATTATAAACTTGTCCCTAGTTTAGACACGATTTTCTTTTTACTTACTGAAGTTCATATTTGGTTTTAGTTATCATTCCCCCCCCCGTTTAAATTATTTAGAACTGCATTATGTATGTTTTCTATAAATTCAATAAAACTATATTTATTGATAGCATTTCAATAAAAATTCTTAAAATTAGAATCATAAAAAAAAAAACTTTATAAATTCAACA